AATAAGTAAGGTAGAAAATGAAGAAAAGGAAAAAAAAGAGAACGAAGTCAAAAAAAAGTTGATTTTGTATCGGCATTATCAGATGCCATGTGTAAATTTTTATGCAAATTTTTTTCCGATTACCACATGCAAAATTGCATTGTGTCAGGATGAACGGGATCGTTCAGTGAGTTTTAGTGAATCGATATTTTTACAGGTTGCGCATAGCTATGTTGTTTCGCAAGTGATCACTTACGTTTATCACGGGTTCTTGCTTCCTGTCGTGCTGCCTTCGTTGCTGCAGGTTTGCTCTCCCATTCTTTAAAACATTAAGCTGCCATACCATTTTTTGGAGTTTTAAAATATCATTTGTTTCCCCCTCTTTTTAGTCTTTTTAGTCACCAGCGCCAGAAAAAACAGCACTGCCGGAACATTTTTGGTTTTGGAATTCCGTATTATTAATGCTGCTTTATGCTATTCAGATCGAAGTCTTTCCGGAAGCTATTGGAGGGCTATCTCTTTTCTCGTAGATATTTTTCATTGTTTTAACTGCATTGGAAAAATCCTCAGAAAATGTGTGTTTCCATAGTTTCCCGAGAAACTCAGTTTTTACTAGGATCTACTGAGTGAACGTTTGCTCGTAAAACCTCAAGGAAAGCCACACCAGGCTTCTCTGTCCTTAAATACCGAACGAATTCATTTTAGGCCTTTCTGTCTTGAGATTCACTGAACTTATAATTTTTCCAATATTACATTTTGGAGTTACTTTCGAGGCTATTTCTGAGTGTCTTCGTCTCTCTTAGAAAGCAAATACAGAGCGGGGAGAGGGAGGATTGGCCCCTAACTTTTGTGACAGTTTTTATGTCGGAATCACGGACAGCCAAATATCCTGTCTTGGGCATACAGCACGGATAAAGATTTAAGGATAGTATTAATAACTGGATGGAAAAAAGACGTGCTGGCATGTCATATATGCGAAGTCTTGGAATAATTCTAATTTTAAATGTTTAGGGTGGACAAGATGAACTGATCTCGTCAACGGCTTATTATCATCTTTGCTTGGAAAGTGTCACTGAGCCGACTCTCATACAAATGATTGTTAAGTTACTACTTGTGGAAAGGTGTGAAGGCAATAAAAAAGTGCTAGATGTGATCGTGGAAAGGATATCAGCTGGAAATCGGGTTCGTTTCTTTTCAAGTTAAAAAATTACCTTTCGTCCTCATCCCCCCTCCCCCTCCGCCCCCTTGTTTACCCGTTGTGAGAGGTGGAACTAGAAGCACTAATAAGTGCCAACAGCAATGAGCTGCTAGGAAGGCCGTAGATGGCTCTCTTCTTAAAGGGTTCCGTAAAAGCAAGCTGGTGGCGGTTTCTCAAAATTAGCTCCCATAGCTTTCTTGCGAAAATTAGCTCCCACTGTTCGAACTGTTTTTGCGTTTCGAATAAACTGTGACTAAATGTGGATTTCGCGTTTTAGTTTTGAAATTTTTTTGGAATTTCGAGTCGTTGTGCTG